TGTGCACGTCATTAAACTCTCACAAAAACTGTAAAACTAACAAATATTACCTGACGTAATATTTGTTCAGTCATCCCTGACTCTCGGTTTGATCGTCGAGCCACTCCATTACATCCAGCCATCTCTCGGGATCCAACTGCATGGGATCGAGGGTGGAAAATTCTTCAGGACTCAATGCAGCACCTTGAACTTGAGCTTTTGATTTCGGTTTCCTATCATTGTGGACCTTTTGATGCGTGTTAAGATTTGACGACTGTGAAAATGCCTTCCCACACACAGGGCACAGGAATGGCTTATCGCCCGTGTGTGTTCTCTGATGGTCTTGAAGATGTGATGACTGTGCAAATGCCTTCCCACATACAGAGCACAGGAATGGCTTCTCGCCCGTGTGTGCTCTCTGATGAATCTGAAGATGTGATGAGTTTGCAAATTTCTTCCCACACACAGGGCACAGGAATGGCTTCTCGCCCGTGTGTGTTCTCTGATGAATCTGAAGATTTGATGACCGTGCAAATGTCTTCCCACACACAGGGCACAGGAACGGCTTCTCGCCCGTGTGTGTTCTCTGGTGTCTCTGAAGATGTGATGGCCATGAAAATGACTTCCCACACACAAAGCAATTCAATGGCTTCTTGCCTCCGTGTGCGTGGGGCTGTGGAGAGCCTCTGCTCCATGTGAGCGTAGTAACAGCAGCGGTGTTATTGAGTCAAAAGTACGCTATCGGCCGCAAGGATGTTTTGGATTTTGTTAACTGCTAAAACAAGAACGACACTCGCGTCTAACCGAGACGCAAAAAAATCCTGCTAATTTAACGACGCGAAAATAGACACTTACTTGGAGATTCACGGTATATCGATGTCTAGAACCCGTCTGAAGATGTCGCCACGAACTCTCCCGACGCAAAGTCGCCTAACTATCGACACAGCAATTGTGCTCGCCAGGCTGCGTTGTCTCGCGGTTGAAGGGCGATCAGCAGAGCGACGAGTCGAGCGTCCAACCTCATCAAGTTCCCTCTCGAAATGGCATTGAGCTCTGCTTCTGAGCCGCCTTATAACTCCCCCCCTAGGATCCAATCCTTTGTCTTTCAGGATATTTGCATTCGATTGTTAATTTTGGAAGGCACAATCCGCATGTCTATTAACATACCGAAGGGTAATGTGCCCATTGTGCTTCATGCATGAATATGTAAGTGCATCTCAGTGTGTAATTGTGCGCTTATTTTGAATAAAAACTTTATCCTCGATTTAAAGTGAATGCAGAGAAATTAGCATGTAACTTTAGAAAAGGAAGAGAGCGGCCTTCTCGACGAGGGAGTGAAACCCAATAGGTAATCTTCTTCCTAGCGTTGTTCCCGCTGTGGCGCAGGGTCCGCTTTTCGGCATTGTCTTCTCCATTTGGCTCGGTCCAGGGCATCTTCAGGGGATGCGTTGACCGTCTTTGTGTCTTCCTTTATTCGATCCATCCATCGCTTCTTCGGACGTCCGCGTGGACGGCGGCCCTCTGGCTCAATACGCACGGCAGTCTTGGCCACTGATGACTCTTCACTTCGCATCACATGGCCGTACCACCGAAGCCTTGCCTCAAGCATCTTGTCCGCAATGGGGGCCACACCAAGTCGATTCCGAACGTCTTCGTTCATGACACGATCCCATCGAGTGAGTCCGAGGCTCCATCTGAGCATCCTCATCTCCATGGTGTGGAGAGCTTGTTCGTGTACAGTTGTGGCTGGCCAGCACTCGGATCCATAGAGTGCCACCGGTCGGACGATGGTCTTGTAAATTTTTCCCTTCAGCCTATCCGGCATTTTCCTATCACAGAGGACTCCGGTGACTTGCCTCCACTTCATCCATGATTCCCGGTATACTTCGGTATTCTGGACCTGAACGTTGCGAAACGATTCATAACGAGGACCTTTCCCCACCAGAGCGCAATACGCTAATGAAAAGAACTCGGGGCGGCGGGAGCACGTGCTTCCATGGGCAGTGGGGGACAGGGCATGGTTGTATTGCCTACAGGTGCTACCGGGAAAATCTCCCAAGTTGCTCCGCCCATGGCGGGGTCAGGTAGAGGTCATAGAGGTGGGTGATGTAAAGACAGTGCGTCAACTAAGGGACAAGTGGTGACAACAAGATAGAGAGAGTTCGAGAAGGGAAGGCGAGACCATGTGTGGGCGGAGGTTCACGCCGAGAATGAGAGAGGGGGAGTAACGATGTTTGGGGCTGTGTTGGCTGGTTGCTGTCTCGTCGTCGTTGCTATATCGTGACGCCTGGGGTCTGAAACCGCGTTAAAGGCTAAATAAAAGAGTTTGGAGTAATTACAATTTTAACGATTCATTATTGCACGGGCTAATGTTGAGTTTGTACGATTATTTTATATATACATACTGAATATTGCTATGTGATGCCATTGAGATGGAACATTCATCCAATAGTGGACAGCTTGATCCTAATACCACCAAAGTGTTATTCAAATAATTTTAATCCCATCCTGATCCTGCACCTTCCGTTTTACATATTCCACCCTTGGTTCGCACGTCTATATTACATACATACATACATGTTACATACATACATACATGTTACATGCATGCATGTACCATGTTACATACATACATGCATGTTACATACATACATGTTACATGCACATATACTTACTACAAACAGATATGTTACATACATACATGTTACATGCACATATACTTACTACAAACAGATATGTTACATACATACATGTTACATACTTACGACCGTAGTGTGATTCGAAGAGGACCACGGAGTGATTCGAATAATTCGAATGCGATTTCGAATATCACACTTCAAGGTAGGTTGTTCTAATCTATAACACTAGTTAATAATGCTATTGTATAGCGTTATAATGTATAGCTCATAGGTTATATTGTTAGAGTTCACATACTAGTTTACAGTAATTTGTAGATTCTTCAAATGTATATGTGAATGTTTTTAAATTACCATTGTTGAAGTTCATAATGTTAAAGTTCACAGTGTGAGAATTTACAATGTCAGAGTTTACAATGTGAGAGTATATCCAAGACGTCGATCGATGGCGTTGGTCTGGTTTTTGATCAAAGACGTTATCCCATAACGGGACACCAACATGCTGCCGATATAACAGTAACAGAAGCAACTACAGCAGCTACGAAACCATTCGATGACAAAGCAGCGACTTCTTCAATCTGAGAGTTTGTGGCCGTGCCCTGTTCTCGTGGGACCCGACACGGATTTGGAAATAATTGCTATGATCATGTCTGAGCTGAGATGAGCGACTAATGTTTACTTTGTTTAATCATAACTGTGCGTAGGTTAGTGCCATCGGTGCTTAGTGAATACTACTCATGAATGAACTCATTCTTCTTTCGGATAGAAATTTGAAATCGTTTTGGTAGAACAATTTGCTTTCCTTTTCGAGACGAATTGTTATCTTCAAGTGCGCCCGTAAATATACTGCTGAAATACACAGCATAGGGAAGGCAGCCTTGTTCGGGAGATGTAGTTTGGCTAAGTCGCTGTGGCCGGGTGATGACACGGATTCTGAAACAATGGAGTTAAACACTCGCTGCTTGGCCCCGTCGACAGCAGAGAAGGCTGTCATATACCGCCCCATTTACGAGTTGGCTGTACAATGTGTATAGTTGAAGGTGTTAAGTGTTGTCTTCTTCTAACAGCTACTAACGTGCGTGTGTTGTCTGTTTTTATGATTTGCCCATTGATGTAGTTCTTTTTATTGCGGCGTTTTTTTGTTGAGTTCTGTCACTTGAGTGTTGCAGTTTGTTTAAGAATTCGTCACGTGAGCGTGGTGTTTTGCTTGTGGGAATTTCGCTTTGTCACAAATTGCGATTGTTATAATAATTGTAACGATTCATAATCTCATCAGTTAAGAATGGGTTTGTGCGTGATTCTTATACGATCACACTGTGATTCTAATGCTTCTAATGATATTATAATACCTTACCTCTGTTTATATGGTTATAAATTAAAACACTAGTTAATAATCGTTCAATGTTTAGTGTTATAGTTTATAGTATTACAGTTTACATGTTATAGAGTACAGTTTATCCCCGACATACTTAGGGATTAGGGACTGGTACGTTGATGAAGGATTAACTACGGGGACCTTTCCCCTCAGGGAACACGTGTTAATCGGGTAGACAGCCAAGATGCTGCCGGTTAAGGGCACACTTGTGTGACGGAGATCCTACACCTGAAATTATCTTAACATGTTTTTGCTAGGAACATGATAAAATCAAGAATGGACAAACATTTGTTAAAAATACGTTTTTATTCATCTGCAATAATTTTACATCAAAACTCGAAGGGAATATTTATTACGTCCTATGTTCACACATTTCCAGTACCATGCAAACCATTTCCGTTCCAGGAATACCAAAACGTTAAAGTATCATTGATTTCCTTATTAATTCACCACATTTGTTCACTGTGCGTCCATGTTGAAGTCAAGGCCATATATCCAACGATCGCGTCATCAATGTACATCCTGAAATCAGCTATCTAAAGTCGATTAATACCAATCGAAAACCGCTATATACTTGAAAAAAAATAGTTAAAAATGTTGAGTAAAGATGTACCTACAGACGCATTCCAACTTTAGCTCAACAGGGACACTTAACGACTACAATTGAACCCTCTCACAACCAGTGCTCATCACACCACTTCGGCAAGTAACCCGATAACATTACAAACCACCACTGTGCACGTCATTAAACTCTTAAAAAAACTATAAAACTAAAATGGTCAAAATTACACAGAAAAGTACTCGATACGGCTTAATAGGTATAAACACATGACGTAATATTTTTTCAGTCACGCCGAGCTCTCGGTTTGATCCTCGAGCCACTCCATTACATCCAGCCATCTCTCGGGATCCAACTGCATGGGATCGAAGGTGGAAACTTCTTGAGGACTCATTGCAGCACCTTGAATTTCAGCTTTTGATTTCAGTTTCCTATCATTGTGGACCTTCTGATGCCTGTTAAGAGTTGACGACTGTGAAAATGCCTTCCCACACGCAGGGCACAGGAATGGCTTATCGCCCGTGTGTGTTCTCTGATGGTTTTGAAGAGTTGACGACTGTGCAAATGCCTTCCCACACACAGGGCACAGGAATGGCTTCTCGCCCGTGTGTGTTCTCTGATGACTCTGAAGATGTGATGAGTGTGCAAATGTTTTCCCACACACAGAGCACAGGATTGGCTTCTCACCCGTGTGTGTTTTCTGGTGTCTCTTAAGACTTGATGACCATGAAAATGCCTTCCCACACACAGAGCAATTGAATGGCTTCTTGTCTCCGTGTGCGTGGGGCTGTGGAGAGCGTCTCTGCTCCATGTGAGCGTAGTAACAGCAGCGGTGTTATCGAATCAAAAATACGCTATCGGCCGAAAGGATGTTTAGCGTTTAGTTTTGGATTTCGTTAACTGCTAAAACAAGAACGACACTCGCGTCTAACCGAGACGCAAAAAAATCCCGTAAATATGACGACAAAACACGTTTAAGAGTTTATCCGCGATAATAGACACTTACTTGGAGATTCACGGTATATGGATGTCTAGAACTCGTCTGAAGATGTCGCCACGATCTCTCCCGACGCAAAGTCGCCTAACTGTCGACACAGCAATTGTGCTCGCCAGGCTGCGTTGTCTCGCGGTTGAAGGGCAATCAGCAGAGCGACGAGTCGAGCGTCCAACCTCATCAAGTTCCCTCTCGAAATGGCATTGAGCTCTGCTTCTGAGCTTCCTTATAACTCCCCCCCTAGGATCCAATCCTTTGTCTTTCAGGATATTTGCATTCGATTGCTAATTTTGGAAGGTACAATCCGCATGTCTATTAACATACCGAAGAGTAATGTGCCCATTGTGCTTCATGCATGAATATGTAAGTGCATCTCAGTGTGTAATTGTGCGCTTATTTTGAATTAATGGAAAAACATTGTCCTCGATTCAAAGTGAATGCAGAGAAATTAGCATATAACTTTAGAAAAGGAAGGGAGCGGCCTTCTCGACGAGGAAGTGAAATCCAATAGCGTTACAATGGATAGGTTGTAGTTCATAGGTTATAATATTATGTTTCACTATGATAGAGCTTAAGATGCGAGAGTATACAATATCAGAGTTGATCAAATGCGACGATCAAGGGCGTCAATCGGGTGAGTTTGATCAGAGGCTTTAATCAAAAGCGTCATCCCATCACAGAACACCACCTCCCTGCGTATATCACAGGAACAGAAGCAACTACAGCAGCAACAACAGTAGCGACAACAACAGCAGCAACATCACATTTCGAGGGCGACGCAGCTACTTACGATTCTGCTGCCCAGCTGTTTGTAGTCGGGACCTGCTCTCGCAGGACCCCACACGTCTTTGGAAATGATTGCGATGATCATGTCTGAGCTGAGAATTAAGTCACTCAAGATTACGTTGTTTAACCATAACTTTAGGTAGGTTAGTGTCATCGGGGCTCTGTGAATACTACTCATGAATGAAATCACACTCCTGTATGACCGACATTGTACTAATTTTGGTTGATCGAGTAGACGAATTCTTATCAACAACAGTGTCCTTAAATATGATGCTAAAATAAATGTTAACACTGGATTAAACGTGCACCTCTTAACCCCTCCCTCGCATTTACGACTAACGATTTGCATTTGCACTTAACATACATTATAGCCCATTAAAATGCTAATACTACCATATTATTATTCTAAAATGTGAATGCGATTCTTGCCCTGTACCCTCACAGTTAACATATCCTACCCCCGGTTCGATTGAACAGATAATTTACATACATATGTGTAGAGTGCGATTTTAATACTTCTAATGAGATTTAAATACCATACCTCCGTTTATGGTGCTATAAATTATAAAACCAGTTGATAATTTTTTGTCGTTTAATGTTTAGTGTTATTGTTTATAGTGTTATCAGTTTACATATTTTTTAGGTGCAGGTGATTCCCGGTATACTTCGGTATTCTGGACCTGAACGTTGCGAAACGATTCATAACGAGGACCTTTCCCCACCAGAGCGCAATACGCTAATGAAAAGAACTCGGGGCGGCGGGAGCACGTGCTTCCATGGGCAGTGGGGGACAGGGCATGGTTGTATTGCCTACAGGTGCTACCGGGAAAATCTCCCAAGTTGCTCCGCCCATAGCGGGGTCAGGTAGAGGTCATAGAGGTGGGTGATGTAAAGACAGTGCGTCAACTAAGGGACAAGTGGTGACAACAAGATAGAGAGAGTTCGAGAAGGGAAGGCGAGACCATGTGTGGGCGGAGGTTCACGCCGAGAATGAGAGAGGGGGAGTAACGATGTTTGGGGCTGTGTTGGCTGGTTGCTGTCTCGTCGTCGTTGCTATATCGTGACGCCTGGGGTCTGAAACCGCGTTAAAGGCTAAATAAAAGAGTTTGGAGTAATTACAATTTTAACGATTCATTATTGCACGGGCTAATGTTGAGTTTGTACGATTATTTTATATATACATACTGAATATTGCTATGTGATGCCATTGAGATGGAACATTCATCCAATAGTGGACAGCTTGATCCTAATACCACCAAAGTGTTATTCAAATAATTTTAATCCCATCCTGATCCTGCACCTTCCGTTTTACATATTCCACCCTTGGTTCGCACGTCTATATTACATACATACATACATGTTACATACATACATACATGTTACATGCATGCATGTACCATGTTACATACATACATGCATGTTACATACATACATGTTACATGCACATATACTTACTACAAACAGATATGTTACATACATACATGTTACATGCACATATACTTACTACAAACAGATATGTTACATACATACATGTTACATACTTACGACCGTAGTGTGATTCGAAGAGGACCACGGAGTGATTCGAATAATTCGAATGCGATTTCGAATATCACACTTCAAGGTAGGTTGTTCTAATCTATAACACTAGTTAATAATGCTATTGTATAGCGTTATAATGTATAGCTCATAGGTTATATTGTTAGAGTTCACATACTAGTTTACAGTAATTTGTAGATTCTTCAAATGTATATGTGAATGTTTTTAAATTACCATTGTTGAAGTTCATAATGTTAAAGTTCACAGTGTGAGAATTTACAATGTCAGAGTTTACAATGTGAGAGTATATCCAAGACGTCGATCGATGGCGTTGGTCTGGTTTTTGATCAAAGACGTTATCCCATAACGGGACACCAACATGCTGCCGATATAACAGTAACAGAAGCAACCACAGCAGCTACGAAACCATTCGATGACAAAGCAGCGACTTCTTCAATCTGAGAGTTTGTGGCCGTGCCCTGTTCTCGTGGGACCCGACACGGATTTGGAAATAATTGCTATGATCATGTCTGAGCTGAGATGAGCGACTAATGTTTACTTTGTTTAATCATAACTGTGCGTAGGTTAGTGCCATCGGTGCTTAGTGAATACTACTCATGAATGAACTCATTCTTCTTTCGGATAGAAATTTGAAATCGTTTTGGTAGAACAATTTGCTTTCCTTTTCGAGACGAATTGTTATCTTCAAGTGCGCCCGTAAATATACTGCTGAAATACACAGCATAGGGAAGGCAGCCTTGTTCGGGAGATGTAGTTTGGCTAAGTCGCTGTGGCCGGGTGATGACACGGATTCTGAAACAATGGAGTTAAACACTCGCTGCTTGGCCCCGTCGACAGCAGAGAAGGCTGTCATATACCGCCCCATTTACGAGTTGGCTGTACAATGTGTATAGTTGAAGGTGTTAAGTGTTGTCTTCTTCTAACAGCTACTAACGTGCGTGTGTTGTCTGTTTTTATGATTTGCCCATTGATGTAGTTCTTTTTATTGCGGCGTTTTTTTGTTGAGTTCTGTCACTTGAGTGTTGCAGTTTGTTTAAGAATTCGTCACGTGAGCGTGGTGTTTTGCTTGTGGGAATTTCGCTTTGTCACAAATTGCGATTGTTATAATAATTGTAACGATTCATAATCTCATCAGTTAAGAATGGGTTTGTGCGTGATTCTTATACGATCACACTGTGATTCTAATGCTTCTAATGATATTATAATACCTTACCTCTGTTTATATGGTTATAAATTAAAACACTAGTTAATAATCGTTCAATGTTTAGTGTTATAGTTTATAGTATTACAGTTTACATGTTATAGAGTACAGTTTATCCCCGACATACTTAGGGATTAGGGACTGGTACGTTGATGAAGGATTAACTACGGGGACCTTTCCCCTCAAGGAACACGTGTTAATCGGGTAGACAGCCAAGATGCTGCCGGTTAAGGGCACACTTGTGTGACGGAGATCCTACACCTGAAATTATCTTAACATGTTTTTGCTAGGAACATGATAAAATCAAGAATGGACAAACATTTGTTAAAACTACGTTTTTATTCATCTGCAATAATTTTACATCAAAACTCGAAGGGAATATTTATTACGTCCTATGTTCACACATTTCCAGTACCATGCAAACCATTTCCGTTCCAGGAATACCAAAACGTTAAAGTATCATTGATTTCCTTATTAATTCACCACATTTGTTCACTGTGCGTCCATGTTGAAGTCAAGGCCATATATCCAACGATCGCGTCATCAATGTACATCCTGAAATCAGCTATCTAAAGTCGATTAATACCAATCGAAAACCGCTATATACTTGAAAAAAAATAGTTAAAAATGTTGAGTAAAGATGTACCTACAGACGCATTCCAACTTTAGCTCAACAGGGACACTTAACGACTACAATTGAACCCTCTCACAACCAGTGCTCATCACACCACTTCGGCAAGTAACCCGATAACATTACAAACCACCACTGTGCACGTCATTAAACTCTTAAAAAAACTATAAAACTAAAATGGTCAAAATTACACAGAAAAGTACTCGATACGGCTTAATAGGTATAACCACATGACGTAATATTTTTTCAGTCACGCCGAGCTCTCGGTTTGATCCTCGAGCCACTCCATTACATCCAGCCATCTCTCGGGATCCAACTGCATGGGATCGAAGGTGGAAACTTCTTGAGGACTCATTGCAGCACCTTGAATTTCAGCTTTTGATTTCAGTTTCCTATCATTGTGGACCTTCTGATGCCTGTTAAGAGTTGACGACTGTGAAAATGCCTTCCCACACGCAGGGCACAGGAATGGCTTATCGCCCGTGTGTGTTCTCTGATGGTTTTGAAGAGTTGACGACTGTGCAAATGCCTTCCCACACACAGGGCACAGGAATGGCTTCTCGCCCGTGTGTGTTCTCTGATGACTCTGAAGATGTGATGAGTGTGCAAATGTTTTCCCACACACAGAGCACAGGATTGGCTTCTCACCCGTGTGTGTTTTCTGGTGTCTCTTAAGACTTGATGACCATGAAAATGCCTTCCCACACACAGAGCAATTGAATGGCTTCTTGTCTCCGTGTGCGTGGGGCTGTGGAGAGCGTCTCTGCTCCATGTGAGCGTAGTAACAGCAGCGGTGTTATCGAATCAAAAATACGCTATCGGCCGAAAGGATGTTTAGCGTTTAGTTTTGGATTTCGTTAACTGCTAAAACAAGAACGACACTCGCGTCTAACCGAGACGCAAAAAAATCCCGTAAATATGACGACAAAACACGTTTAAGAGTTTATCCGCGATAATAGACACTTACTTGGAGATTCACGGTATATGGATGTCTAGAACTCGTCTGAAGATGTCGCCACGATCTCTCCCGACGCAAAGTCGCCTAACTGTCGACACAGCAATTGTGCTCGCCAGGCTGCGTTGTCTCGCGGTTGAAGGGCAATCAGCAGAGCGACGAGTCGAGCGTCCAACCTCATCAAGTTCCCTCTCGAAATGGCATTGAGCTCTGCTTCTGAGCTTCCTTATAACTCCCCCCCTAGGATCCAATCCTTTGTCTTTCAGGATATTTGCATTCGATTGCTAATTTTGGAAGGTACAATCCGCATGTCTATTAACATACCGAAGAGTAATGTGCCCATTGTGCTTCATGCATGAATATGTAAGTGCATCTCAGTGTGTAATTGTGCGCTTATTTTGAATTAATGGAAAAACATTGTCCTCGATTCAAAGTGAATGCAGAGAAATTAGCATATAACTTTAGAAAAGGAAGGGAGCGGCCTTCTCGACGAGGAAGTGAAATCCAATAGCGTTACAATGGATAGGTTGTAGTTCATAGGTTATAATATTATGTTTCACTATGATAGAGCTTAAGATGCGAGAGTATACAATATCAGAGTTGATCAAATGCGACGATCAAGGGCGTCAATCGGGTGAGTTTGATCAGAGGCTTTAATCAAAAGCGTCATCCCATCACAGAACACCACCTCCCTGCGTATATCACAGGAACAGAAGCAACTACAGCAGCAACAACAGTAGCGACAACAACAGCAGCAACATCACATTTCGAGGGCGACGCAGCTACTTACGATTCTGCTGCCCAGCTGTTTGTAGTCGGGACCTGCTCTCGCAGGACCCCACACGTCTTTGGAAATGATTGCGATGATCATGTCTGAGCTGAGAATTAAGTCACTCAAGATTACGTTGTTTAACCATAACTTTAGGTAGGTTAGTGTCATCGGGGCTCTGTGAATACTACTCATGAATGAAATCACACTCCTGTATGACCGACATTGTACTAATTTTGGTTGATCGAGTAGACGAATTCTTATCAACAACAGTGTCCTTAAATATGATGCTAAAATAAATGTTAACACTGGATTAAACGTGCACCTCTTAACCCCTCCCTCGCATTTACGACTAACGATTTGCATTTGCACTTAACATACATTATAGCCCATTAAAATGCTAATACTACCATATTATTATTCTAAAATGTGAATGCGATTCTTGCCCTGTACCCTCACAGTTAACATATCCTACCCCCGGTTCGATTGAACAGATAATTTACATACATATGTGTAGAGTGCGATTTGAATACTTCTAATGAGATTTAAATACCATACCTCCGTTTATGGTGCTATAAATTATTAAACCAGTTGATAATTTTTTGTCGTTTAATGTTTAGTGTTATTGTTTATAGTGTTATCAGTTTACATATTTTTTAGGTGCAGGTGATTCCCGGTATACTTCGGTATTCTGGACCTGAACGTTGCGAAACGATTCATAACGAGGACCTTTCCCCACCAGAGCGCAATACGCTAATGAAAAGAACTCGGGGCGGCGGGAGCACGTGCTTCCATGGGCAGTGGGGGACAGGGCATGGTTGTATTGCCTACAGGTGCTACCGGGAAAATCTCCCAAGTTGCTCCGCCCATAGCGGGGTCAGGTAGAGGTCATAGAGGTGGGTGATGTAAAGACAGTGCGTCAACTAAGGGACAAGTGGTGACAACAAGATAGAGAGAGTTCGAGAAGGGAAGGCGAGACCATGTGTGGGCGGAGGTTCACGCCGAGAATGAGAGAGGGGGAGTAACGATGTTTGGGGCTGTGTTGGCTGGTTGCTGTCTCGTCGTCGTTGCTATATCGTGACGCCTGGGGTCTGAAACCGCGTTAAAGGCTAAATAAAAGAGTTTGGAGTAATTACAATTTTAACGATTCATTATTGCACGGGCTTATGTTGAGTTTGTACGATTATTTTATATATACATACTGAATATTGCTATGTGATGCCATTGAGATGGAACATTCATCCAATAGTGGACAGCTTGATCCTAATACCACCAAAGTGTTATTCAAATAATTTTAATCCCATCCTGATCCTGCACCTTCCGTTTTACATATTCCACCCTTGGTTCGCACGTCTATATTACATACATACATGTTACATACATACATACATGTTACATGCATGCATGTACCATGTTACATACATACATGCATGTTACATACATACATGTTACATGCACATATACTTACTACAAACAGATATGTTACATACATACATGTTACATGCACATATACTTACTACAAACAGATATGTTACATACATACATGTTACATACTTACGACCGTAGTGTGATTCGAAGAGGACCACGGAGTGATTCGAATAATTCGAATGCGATTTCGAATATCACACTTCAAGGTAGGTTGTTCTAATCTATAGCACTAGTTAATAATGTTATTGTATAGCGTTATAATGTATAGCTCATAGGTTATATTGTTAGAGTTCACATACTAGTTTACAGTAATTTGTAGATTCTTCAAATGTATATGTGAATGTTTTTAAATTACCATTGTTGAAGTTCATAATGTTAAAGTTCACAATGTGAGAATTTACAATGTCAGAGTTTACAATGTGAGAGTATATCCAAGACGTCGATCGATGGCGTTGGTCTGGTAGGTTCGATCATAGTTTTTGATCAAAGACGTTATCCCATAACGGGACACCAACATGCTGCCGATATAACAGTAACAGAAGCAACTACAGCAGCTACGAAACCATTCGATGGCAAAGCAGCGACTTCTTCAATCTGAGAGTTTGTGGCCGTGCCCTGTTCTCGTGGGACCCGACACGGATTTGGAAATAATTGCTATGATCATGTCTGAGCTGAGATGAGCGACTAATGTTTACTTTGTTTAATCATAACTGTGCGTAGGTTAGTGCCATCGGTGCTTAGTGAATACTACTCATGAATGAACTCATTCTTCTTTCGGATAGAAATTTGAAATCGTTTTGGTAGAACAATTCGCTTTCCTTTTCGAGACGAATTGTTATCTTCAAGTGCGCCCGTAAATATACTGCTGAAATACACAGCATAGGGAAGGCAGCCTTGTTCGGGAGATGTAGTTTGGCTAAGTCGCTGTGGCCGGGTGATGACACGGATTCTGAAACAATGGAGTTAAACACTCGCTGCTTGGCCCCGTCGACAGCAGCGAAGGCTGTCATATACCGCCCCATTTACGAGTTGGCTGTACAATGTGTATAGTTGAAGGTGTTAAGTGTTGTCTTCTTCTAACAGCTACTAACGTGCGTGTGTTGTCTGTTTTTATGATTTGCCCATTGATGTAGTTCTTTTTATTGCGGCGTTTTTTTGTTGAGTTCTGTCACTTGAGTGTTGCAGTTTGTTTAAGAATTCGTCACGTGAGCGTGGTGTTTTGCTTGTGGGAATTTCGCTTTGTCACAAATTGCGATTGTTATAATAATTGTAACGATTCATAATCTCATCAGTTAAGAATGGGTTTGTGCGTGATTCTTATACGATTACACTGTGATTCTAATGCTTCTAATGATATTATAATACCTTACCTCTGTTTATATGGTTATAAATTAAAACACTAGTTAATAATCGTTCAATGTTTAGTGTTATAGTTTATAGTATTACAGTTTACATGTTATAGAGTACAGTTTATCCCCGACATACTTAGGGATTAGGGACTGGTACGTTGATGAAGGATTAACTACGGGGACCTTTCCCCTCAAGGAACACGTGTTAATCGGGTAGACAGCCAAGATGCTGCCGGTTAAGGGCACACTTGTGTGACGGAGATCCTACACCTGAAATTATCTTAACATGTTTTTGCTAGGAACATGATAAAATCAAGAATGGACAAACATTTGTTAAAAATACGTTTTTATTCATCTGCAATAATTTTACATCAAAACTCGAAGGGAATATTTATTACGTCCTATGTTCACACATTTCCAGTACCATGCAAACCATTTCCGTTCCAGGAATACCAAAACGTTAAAGTATCATTGATTTCCTTATTAATTCACCACATTTGTTCACTGTGCGTCCATGTTGAAGTCAAGGCCATATATCCAACGATCGCGTCATCAATGTACATCCTGAAATCAGCTATCTAAAGTCGATTAATACCAATCGAAAACCGCTATATACTTGAAAAAAAATAGTTTAAAATGTTGAGTAAAGATGTACCTACAGACGCATTCCAACTTTAGCTCAACAGGGACACTTAACGACTACAATTGAACCCTCTCACAACCAGTGCTCATCACACCACTTCGGCAAGTAACCCGATAACATTACAAACCACCACTGTGCACGTCATTAAACTCTCAAAAAAACTATAAAACTAAAATGGTCAAAATTACACACAAAAGTACTCGATACGGCTTAATAGGTATAACCACATGACGTAATATTTTTTCAGTCACGCCGAGCTCTCGGTTTGATCCTCGAGCCACTCCATTACATCCAGCCATCTCTCGGGATCCAACTGCATGGGATCGAAGGTGGAAACTTCTTGAGGACTCATTGCAGCACCTTGAATTTCAGCTTTTGATTTCAGTTTCCTATCATTGTGGACCTTCTGATGCCCGTTAAGAGTTGACGACTGTGAAAATGCCTTCCCACACGCAGGGCACAGGAATGGCTTATCGCCCGTGTGTGTTCTCTGATGGTTTTGAAGAGTTGACGACTGTGCAAATGCCTTCCCACACACAGGGCACAGGAATGGCTTCTCGCCCGTGTGTGTTCTCTGATGACTCTGAAGATGTGATGAGTGTGCAAATGTTTTTCCACACACAGAGCACAGGATTGGCTTCTCACCCGTGTGTGTTTTCTGGTGTCTCTTAAGACTTGATGACCATGAAAATGCCTTCCCACACACAGAGCAATTGAATGGCTTCTTGTCTCCGTGTGCGTGGGGCTGTGGAGAGCGTCTCTGCTCCATGTGAGCGTAGTAACAGCAGCGGTGTTATCGAATCAAAAATACGCTATCGGCCGAAAGGATGTTTAGCGTTTAGTTTTGGATTTCGTTAACTGCTAAAACAAGAACGACACTCGCGTCTAACCGAGACGCAAAAAAATCCCGTAAATATGACGACAAAACACGTTTAAGAGTTTATCCGCGATAATAGACACTTACTTGGAGATTGACGGTATATGGATGTCTAGAACTCGTCTGAAGATGTCGCCACGATCTCTCCCGACGCAAAGTCGCCTAACTGTCGACACAGCAATTGTGCTCGCCAGGCTGCGTTGTCTCGCGGTTGAAGGGCGATCAGCAGAGCGACGAGTCGAGCGTCCAACCTCATCAAGTTCCCTCTCGAAATGGCATTGAGCTCTGCTTCTGAGCTTCCTTATAACTCCTTCCCTAGGATCCAATCCTTTGTCTTTCAGGATATTTGCATTCGATTGCTAATTTTGGAAGGTACAATCCGCATGTCTATTAACATACCGAAGAGTAATGTGCCCATTGTGCTTCATGCATGAATATGTAAGTGCATCTCAGTGTGTAATTGTGCGCTTATTTTGAATTAATGGAAAAACATTGTCCTCGATTCAAAGTGAATGCAGAGAAATTAGCATATAACTTTAGAAAAGGAAGAGAGTGGCCTTCTCGACGAGGAAGTGAAATCCAATAGCGTTACAATGGATAGGTTGTAGTTCATAGGTTATAATATTATGTTTCACTATGATAGAGCTTAAGATGCGAGAGTATACAATATCAGAGTTGATCAAATGCGACGATCAAGGGCGTCAATCGGGTGAGTTTGATCAGAGGCTTTAATCAAAAGCGTCATCCCATCACAGAACACCACCTCCCTGCGTATATCACAGGAACAGAAGCAACTACAGCAGCAACAACAGTAGCGACAACAACAGCAGCAACATCACATTTCGAGGGCGACGCAGCTACTTACGATTCTGCTGCCCAGCTGTTTGTAGTCGGGACCTGCTCTCGCAGGACCCCACACGTCTTTGGAAATGATTGCGATGATCATGTCTGAGCTGAGAATTAAGTCACTCAAGATTACGTTGTTTAACCATAACTTTAGGTAGGTTAGTGTCATCGGGGCTCTGTGAATACAACTCATGAATGAAATCACACTCCTGTATGACCGACATTGTACTAATTTTGGTTGATCGAGTAGACGAATTCTTATCAACAACAGTGTCCTTAAATATGATGCTAAAATAAATGTTAACACTGGATTAAACGTGCACCTCTTAACCCCTCCCTCGCATTTACGACTAACGATTTGCATTTGCACTTAACATACATTATAGCCCATTAAAATGCTAATACTACCATATTATTATTCTAAAATGTGAATGCGATTCTTGCCCTGTACCCTCACAGTTAACATATCCTACCCCCGGTTCGATTGAACAGATAATTTACATACATATGTGTAGAGTGCGATTTTAATACTTCTAATGAGATTTAAATACCATACCTCCGTTTATGGTGCTATAAATTATAAAACCAGTTGATAATTTTTTGTCGTTTAATGTTTAGTGTTATTGTTTATAGTGTTATCAGTTTACATATTTTTTAGGTGCAGGTGATTCCCGGTATACTTCGGTATTCTGGACCTGAACGTTGCGAAACGATTCATAACGAGGACCTTTCCCCACCAGAGCGCAATACGCTAATGAAAAGAACTCGGGGCGGCGGGAGCACGTGCTTCCATGGGCAGTGGGGGACAGGGCATGGTTGTATTGCCTACAGGTGCTACCGGGAAAATCTCCCAAGTTGCTCCGCCCATGGCGGGGTCAGGTAGAGGTCATAGAGGTGGGTGATGTAAAGACAGTGCGTCAACTAAGGGACAAGTGGTGACAACAAGATAGAGAGAGTTCGAGAAGGGAAGGCGAGACCATGTGTGGGCGGAGGTTCACGCCGAGAATGAGAGAGGGGGAGTAACGATGTTTGGGGCTGTGTTGGCTGGTTGCTGTCTCGTCGTCGTTGCTATATCGTGACGCCTGGGGTCTGAAACCGCGTTAAAGGCTAAATAAAAGAGTTTGGAGTAATTACAATTTTAACGATTCATTATTGCACGGGCTTATGTTGAGTTTGTACGATTATTTTATATATACATACTGAATATTGCTATGTGATGCCATTGAGATGGAACATTCATCCAATAGTGGACAGCTTGATCCTAATACCACCAAAGTGTTATTCAAATAATTTTAATCCCATCCTGATCCTGCACCTTCCGTTTTACATATTCCACCCTTGGTTCGCACGTCTATATTACATACATACATGTTACATACATACATACATGTTACATGCATGCATGTACCATGTTACATACATACATACATGTTACATACATACATGTTACATGCACATATACTTACTACAAACAGACATGTTACATGCATGCATGTTACATACTTACGACCGTAGTGTGATTCGAAGAGGACCACGGAGTGATTCGAATAATTCGAATGCAATTCGAAAATCACACTTCAAGGTAGGTTGTTCCAATCTATAACACTAGTTAATAATGTTGTTGTATAGCGTTATAATGTATAGCTCATAGGTTATATTGTTAGAGTTCACAAATTTAGAGTTTACTAACAATACTAGTTTACAGTAATTTTTAGATTACTGTATATGTGAATGTTTTTAAGTTACCATTGTTGAAGTTCATAATGTTAAAGTTCACAGTGTGAGAATTTACAATGTGAGAGTTTACAATGTGAGAGTATATCCAAGACGTCGATCGATGGCGTTGGTCTGGTAGGTTGGTGTCACGGGACACCAACATGCTGCCGATATAACAGTAACAGAAGCAACTACAGCAGCTACGAAACCGTTCGATGGCAAAGCAGCGACTTCTTCTTCAATCTGAGAGTTTGTGGCCGTGCCCTGTTCTCGTGGGACCCGACACGGATTTGGAAATAATTGCTATGATCATGTCTGAGCTGGGATGAGTGACTAATGTTTACTTTGTTTAATCATAACTGTGTGTAGGTTAGTGTCATCGGGGCTTAGCGAATACTACTCATGAATGAACTCATACTTCTTTCGGATATAAATTTGAAATCGTGTTGGTAGAACAAGTCGCCTGCCTTTTCTAGACGAATTGTTATCTTCAAGTGCGTCCGTAAATAAACTGCTAAAATACACAGCATAGGGAAGGCAGCCTTGTTCGGGAGATGTAGTTTGGCTAAGTCGCTGTGGCCGGGTGATGACACGGATTCTGACACAATGGAGTTAAACACTCGCTGCTTGGCCCCGTCGACAGCAGCGAAGGCTGTCATATACCTCCCCATTGACGAGTTGGCTGTACAATGTGTATAGTTGAAGGTGTTAAGTGTTGTCTTCTTCTAACAGCTACTAACGTGCGTGTGTTGTCTGTTTTTAGGATTTGCACATTGATGTTGTTCTTTTTATTGCGACGTTTTTATGTTGAGTTCTGTCACTTGAGTGTTGCAGTTTGTTTAAGAATTCGTCACGTCAGCGTGGTGTTTTGTTTGTGGGAATTTCGCTTTGTCACAATTTGTGATTGTTATAATAATTGTAACGATTCATAATGTCATGAGTTTATAATGGGTTTGTGCGTGGATTTATATAAATATATTCCGTCTTTTGTTATTCGATGACATCTAGCAGTGAAAATCGTGATTGTAATATGACCATGTTGTAATTGTAATAATTTTTATCCGATCCTTGCACGTACACTATACAAACATATTAGCGATTCTTATACGACCACACTGTAATTCTAATGATATTATAATACCTTACCTCCGTTTATATGGTTATAAATTGAAACACTAGTTTATAATCGTTTAAAGTTTAGTGTTATTATTTATAGTATTACAGTTTACATCTTATAAGGTACAACATACTTCGGGATTAGGGACTGGTACGTTGATGAACGATTAACTACGGGGACCTTTCCCCTCAAGGAACACGTGTTAATCGGGTAGACATTCAAGATGCTGCCGGTTAAGGGCACACTTGTGTGACGGAGATCCTCCACCTAAAATTCTCTTAACATGTTTTAAGCTTGGGACATTATAAAATAAAGACCGGACAAACATTTGTTAAAAATACGTTTTTATTCATCTGCAATCATTTTTACGTCAAAACTCAAAGGGAATATTTATTATGTCCTATGTTCAAACATTTCCAGTACAATGCAAACCATTTCCGTTCCAGGAATACCAAAGCGTTAAAGTTTCATTCCCCATGATGTCCTTATTAGTTCACCACATTTGTTCACTGTGCGTCTATGTTGAAGTCAAGGCCATATATCCAACGAACACGTCATCAATGTACATCCGGAAACCGGCTATCTAAAGTCGATTAATACCATTCAAAAAAGCTATATACTTGAAAAAAACTGTTTAAAATGTTGAGTAAAGATGTACCTACAGACGCATTCCAACTTTAGCTCAACAGGAACACTTAACGACTACAATTGAACCCTCTCACAACCAGTGCTCTTCACACCAATTCGACAAGTAATCCGATAACATAACAAACCACCACTGTGCACGTAATTAAACTCTCAAAAAAACTGTAAAACTAAAATGGTCAAAATTACACACAAAAGTACTCGATACGGCTTAATAGGTATAACCACATGACGTAATATTTTTTCAGTCTCCCCGAGCTCTCTGTTTGATCCTCGAGCCACTCCATTACATCCAGCCATCTCTCGGGATCCAACTGCATGGGATCGAAGGTGGAAACTTCTTCAGGACTCATTGCAGCACCTTGAATTTCAGCTTTTGATTTCAGTTTCCTATCATTGTGGACCTTCTGATGCCTGTTCCTGGTTGATGAGTGTGCAAATGTCTTCCCACACACAGAGCACAGAAACGGCTTCTCGCCCGTGTGTGTTCTCTGGT